TAGAATACAATCATACCCATTTATGTACATATTGTCTATGGTTGCTTTAGCATTATAGTAGCAGAGTTGACTTATGGCCCACAAAGACAGAAATATTTACAAGCTGGCCTTTTGCAGAAAAGTTTTGCTACTCCTTGTTTTATAGCACTCAGAATTTCCATGTGCAATTGTTCATGGAATATATATTTGATAAATATCTACTCTGTGTGCCAGACCCAACCTATGAGGAAATGACAAAGGTCAGGCTTCTGACCCTGGAATTTGAGAGACTGTAAGGATTCAGACAGCAACTTCCCTTCTAAGAGGTGGTACTGGGGAGGTGAAGCCTGGGGGGAGTCTACAGATAACAAAACACAAAACCTACTTCCACACAGACAAGTTAGACCACTCTTTTATTCTCATTTGTTTCAGATGTGAGTGTGTTTGGATCCTTCCCATTTCAGGTACACAGACAGAGATGGTTCAAAGGTCACAGGGTTTGTTTTGGTTCCCTGCATCGTGAACGTGGTCATATATTTATCATTGTTCTGTTCTCAGTCCATGTTTCCCTTCTTCCCACCACTCCCTGACTCACACCTGAAGCCACACTGATCCTAGTTTTGTGGCAATCCCTGAGCACTGGGTTCTGTCATGCTGTCCCCCAACACTTTGCTCAGGTTCTTCTGATCGTCTGGGACACCCTTTCTGCATTGCTTGGCCTGGCTTTACTCATCTCCTCCAGGAAGTATTCCCTCCATCTCAGACTAGGTCAATATCCCTTCTCCAGATACAGCTTAGTTTCATCTCATGATATACTGACTATAAGAACTCTGGTGGTGTAGTGGCAAGGCATTTGGCAGCTAACCAGAAGGTTGGTGGTTCAAACCCACCAGCCGCTCCATGGGAGGAAGATGAGGCAGTCTGCTTCTGTAAAGATTTATAGCCTTGGAAACCCAGTGGGGGTTGCTATGAGTTGGAATTGACCTCATGGCAGTGGGTTGGGTTAGTTGGTCCTGTATTTACTGTAACACATCTGTTGAGTGCCTTCCATCTGCAGGTCATTCTACCAGGTTCTTATCTTTGTGTTCAGATGAATTGTTTCCTTCCATCCTCACTCTCTTCCCAGGCTGTAGACACCCAAGACCAATACAGCCAAAGGGACATTTGCTGTAGATTTCAATAATGAGGCAGAGACCTTTGATGTAATGCCCTGAATGAGATAAGCTAAAAGGAAGCCCACAGAGGAGGTGTGAGAATCCTGCAGGTGATGCCATCTCCACCTGCAAGTGGAGTTGATGGTTGAGTCAATATTGGGAGCCAGACTTGCTTGATCCTGGGAGTTGTGGCCAACCGTGCAGATAAATAAGAATCTACATGGGGAGTTTCATGGAGGAGACACATTTGAGGCAAGGCAGAGAGGAAGGAAGGGGGAGAAGGAAAGAAAGAAGGAAACAGCCCGGTCACGTTCACTGGGGGCCTCCCCTGCCCGCCCCCCGGGATTCTTTCCATCTGACTTGCACTGGTCACACCTCTGCCTCATCTGTTGATCACCTACCTCTTGCCCTTCACCCAGAACATGGCTTAGGAATGCTGCGAGGATTAATGAGACCCACCTGGCTGAGGGATCTTGTTGCTCATTCATCCTGGCCCCTGACACATACTCTAATTCTTTGTTTCCCTGCACAAAACACCACCCAGGTCTCAGCCATTCTGAGCATTCCTGCAGCCAAGAAAAAAGAAACCACTCATGCAATGATGGAAGGACCCAAATGGATTCATAATGGCCTGGATAATAGGCGACTGAATTGACTGAATGTTCTGAGATACTTAAGTATGCGAATGTAAGACTTTCGGGATTTGTAGACTATATGTCTTCCAGTGTGTGTGTGAGGGGGAGTTAACTACCCTCCCCATTTCTATAAATCACGTTCTATTACTGTGAGGTGAATTCAAAATTCAAAGATGTGCTTCAGTGGGCAAGTTTTAGAAGAAACCTGAGATTTTTAGAAGAAAAACGAGACCAGCTCAGGGCAAGCTGGGCATCTTGAAGACGGTATCTCATGCTTCACGTGAACCTGGTTTCCCACATATATTGTTTCATTCGACTTGATTTCCCATAAAACCAGCGGTAGGCAGGGTGATATTTGCACACCCATTTTATAAGTGAGGAAGCTGAGGCAGAGAGGTTAAGGCCCCTCTCCCTCACTGGTCAGTGGCCAGGCCAGGTTTCCAGATCCACACAGCCCTTCTGTTGGTATTTACGATGCAAACTGAACCCGGACATTTTGCAGGCTCTCAATGAGAGCGTGCCTTATATGTGTGACATGTGACATGTGTGCAATCACACAGGGAAGTGCTCAGGCTTGCTTGGTTTCAAGCTCTGCCGCTACAATCTTGAAATTCTGAAACTTCCAACCTGAGGCTCCTCCGACATCGTAGCCAGTCCCACTCCCAACTCCCTGGCTTCCCCCGTTCCTCACCCACCAGTCCCAGGAACTCCCAGCATGTTTGGTCTGGGACTCCTCAACACCATTCTTTCTCTTTGGGGCTCTGGAGGGTCCTGGGGGCCCATGGACCCAGGCCTCTGTTGGTGCTACATGTGAGTACAGGCGGTGCCTTGGGCTTGCTGCATCCCACCCTGCACAGTAAATTGGTACCCAATTCCATCAGCTCTTCAAAGGTTTTTAAAATGAGTTTCATTAAATCAAGAGGCTCTTGGGTTTTCTCAGATTAGACAGTAATCAGACCTACTCTGAATATTGGGTTTCTCTTGGCTGTTTAACTGCTTCTGTCTCTTTGTCCAGGTCCTGCCTCTGATAGTCTCTAATTCTTGATTCTCTTGGAGGGAATAAAGGGAGGGAGGGAGGGAGTGGGGCGAGAGGGACGTAGGGAGGGAGGAAATGAAGAAACCCAGGTCCTTCCTGACACTCCTGACCCTACTGACGTCTTGTAAGTCTTGAAGGTTTACATGTGTTGTAAGAGGTGGAAGTAGAGGTACTGTGTAAAGGGCGTGAGGTTTTCACGAGGGGGATGAAAACAGAGTGAGGGTTTTTGCATTTGGTGAATGTAATGAACGCCAGGGAACTGCCTGTGTCAAGAGCTTTTAAAGTGATTTGCTATGTACATTTCACCACAATGAAAGTCCAGGGAAATAAATACATCAGGATGCTTCTCAGTGTTGGCATGAAAAATAATCCTTGATAGAAGAGAAGCTCCAGCCACCAGGGCTCCGGAAGCTTCCATGTGCAGGGAAATGCCCGCCCGGAAGGCTGGAGAAGGCTTCTCCCGGGAAGACTGCCCGCAAAGCGGGGGTGCCTGGGGGACCGGCAGAGAACCTTCTGCATGGTCATAAAGGTGACCAGGATAGGTTCAGGGATGGAGCCAACTGCCCCCCCATGCTGATGTCCTCCCAGCCCTCCCGAATGCTTCCTCTCCCTCAGTGGCGCCCAGTCCCCACACCATCCTTAACACTCAAGCAGTCCCCTTAGATGCATCCCCTCAGGATCCCTCCTGCCCCCTCAGGATGTCCATACAAAGATGCGGCTGGGCATACACCCCCAGCAAGGACAAAGCCAGAGTCAGCAAACAACCAGGTTTTTATTATGCATTTGACAGGATTTTCTGAGCGTTAGCGTGATGGTGAATTTCTCTCCAAGACAGCAGCTAGTCACGGAGCCAAACAGTGCGTGCACGTTTTATAAACGTACTTCCTGCTCTAAGGATTAAGAGTTTGGATTCAGAACCCCATCTGAACTATATCCATATACATATGTGTATATCCACAGTGGCCTTACTCTGAAGATCCACTGGAAGGAGGCGTGAAGTCAGAAGCTTCCACAGCCAACGATCACTTCTCTAGACAGTACGAAATCCCGCCAGCAAATCAGACGCCTCCGGTCCCCGAGGCCGGATATGCACGTGGCTACCTGCAATAACTAGATGTGAATTATGCATCTAGAAATTAGCAAGCAGCGGGCACCACCTACAAGTCCTCCACACTGTGACCTTGGCGTGGTCTCTGGTGTCCTCGGCCCCCTCCCACCAGGTGGTGAGGAGAGGATCTTCTCCCAGTAGATGGACTTACAGGTCGCAGCCCCGATGTCAAACCCTTATGGCGGTACGAGCGGGACGGTGGGGATGCAGCTGAAAGAGACGGAACCATCAGGAGCGGCAGTGGCCGTGTGGCCAATGATATAGATAAATAGGCATTTACATAATTTACAAAGAGCTGGTGTTCGGGACATTTTGTAGCCGTTCCCCAAAGAGCCACATTGATTGATGAAGGGCAAACTGGGCACCTTGGCCTGGTGGCTCTGCGCAGGGCGCTGCTTTTATAGTGGCTTTTTTCAGATGAAGCCTGGGCCTGGCTTGAGCATCAACCTGGAGGCCTGGGTGGCTACACAGGACACAAAGTGTCAATTGACGGGACAAGAAGGTGCTGTTGGGTGCACGGCCCAGAGTTGTGAATGCTCTGCTTTTCTTGCGATAAACATCAACGTTTCTTCTTTCTTCCTCTATTGTTTGGAGATGCATTCCTGCGGTGAGCGCCTCACACGGCTGTACATTTCTGTCTAAACCCTACAAGCTTCAAACTCCTGGACTCCTGCACAGCTTCCGTCAATGTCTAAGGGGACGCCTCCTGCCGGGCACTCGTCAATCATGCAGCACTCAACCCCTCCTTTCCTCTGTTTTAGGACACAGATGCCTAAGTGTCCCCCTGGCCCTGCCACCAGAGCCTTCGCCTCTATGACAACACGGACACATGTTTACATTTGCAATGAGTCACCTCGATGTCCATTTACCCTCAAAGAGAATTCCCAACCAGCCGGTAGGTGGCTTTCCAACTCACTGTGCCTCAACTACAGTACTCCCTCCATTGAACCAGAGCCCAGGGCGCCTCTGGGATCAGTTTACCCATGAGGGAGGCTGGCTCCTTTGGATTTGGGGCCATTTTTTGGGGGGATGGATTTTTAAGTAGGGCCCTGTGGGCGGGTTTTTCTCCCCAAGACAATGCTTTTTGCTCAAAAAGGTGGGAGTCTGACGTGCATCCGTCCGTGGGCTGAAGCCTCCCTGCGACGGGATGCCTCGGCCTTGTTCTTCGAGGGGATCCTGGAAGAGTGAGGCCACAAGTCAGGCAGAGCTGGGGGAAGCCGCTGCCACGCCAACACTGACGGGGGCGCTCCGAAGCCTACTTGTGTTGTCTGTCCTCGATGCCAATCTGTCTGAGGGACAAAAGAAGAGGGGTGTTACAAAGTAGCTCCGTCCTTACTCAAAGAGGGGACTGAGTCTGACATTTCCTCCGGCCCCATCACCCCCACCCCGATTCTGAACTGAGCCCCGTCGCTGGAGCGTCTCGGCAATTCCAGAGCTGCCAGCCACCCTACAGGGCGTGACTCCAACACAGGCAGACGTGGTCCTGGGAACCTGCCTGCAGCCTGTCCTCCTCTGGTGATGACAAGGGCGGGAACTTGGGAATGACGCCCTCAAGCCATGCAAGGGAGTGGGTACCATGGCTTACTAAAATATTTTCTTTTCTTCCAAGTAAAGTTTCATACAGTAAAGCTAAATACTAAAGACCTGAAGGAACCAGCGTTCTCAAGCGACAGTGGGATGGTGCCTGTCTCGGCCCTGTGGGAGGGCTGTGTCCACAAATCTCACCTTCCTGACATGCAACAGAACAATAATAATGACGGTAAAGACAAACCAGTGGCCAGTGAGGCGATTCCACCTCATGGCGACCCCATGTGTGTTGGAGAACACTGCTCCACAGGGTTTTATACATTTCTAGTATGTAAATTTCATTGTGTTTTTGGTGTGAAAAAACAAACCCACCACTGTCGCATCAATTCCAACTCACAGCAACTCCATCGGACAGAATAGAACTTCTCTATCAGATTGCCAAGGCTGTAATCTTTACAGAAGCAGGCTGCCACATCTTTCTCCCGTGCAGTGGCTGGTGGGTTGGAAGGGCCAAGCATTTGGTTAACAGCCAAGCGGTTTAACCGCTGTGCCACCAGGGCTTCTTCGGTCGCATGGGGTTTCCAGTGGCTGACTTTTAGGAAGTAGATCATCAGCTCCTTCTGAAGAGCGTATGGGTGGACCCAAACTGGCAACCTTTCAGTTAGCCGCTGAGTCTGAGCATGCCCACTGTCGGAATGACCCCGGGACGCCGACCAGAGCAACTGAGTGCTTCCTCTGGGCCAGGCCTCTGCTTTTCCTACCCCAGGGCCCTTGCACGTGCTCTCTATCTACCTGAATCCCTTCCCTCGCATACCCCTTGGCTCACCAACTCCTTTCAGGCCTTTAGGTTCATGTCACCTTTTCAGTGAGCCGGCCCCTGCCCAGCCCCTCTACAAATGCAGCCCCCCACAGCACTTCCTGCCCCCACCCCCACATTCCTGTCCTCCTGGCTCACCTCCCTGTCCGTGCTATGTGTTTGTTTTCTGTCTGCAGCCCTGTGAAGGCAGACACCTTCCTTTGTTCCCTGCTGGGTCCCTGGCTTTGTGAATGATGCCTGGCACATACCAGGCGCTCAGCGAATCTGTGTGGAATGAATGCATGAGAGAATGAATAAATGACAGCATGGACGGATGGCTTGAGTCAAATCTCACCCTCTCTGAGAGGAGTTTGGCTTGGGGTGCGGAAGACAGGAGAGGAAAGAACAGACAGGCGAGTGGAGGAACAGCTGAGGGCTGACTCACACTCTCCCGGGACCCCTCCCCACCGCCTCGCCCGCCTCCACCCTTCCGTGTTTATTATCCATGCTGGCAGGCCCCTCTCTGGACCACTAGAAGCAATCTGCCACCAGTTTGGAAAGCCCCCTGTATACCAAGCGCGGTCCAATCTTCTCTCCATCAGTCCCTGCAAGTGCGAGCTGCCTCCAGGCAACTATTATGAACACGAATTACTATCCATGGCAGATGTGCGGGGGAGCTGTTGATAATGGTTTCTCATGGATGGAGGGACAAAGTGACCCAACTCGGCTGCAGGAGACCTGCAGGATCTCTCACAAGGAAACAGAAGCAGGTCACAAATAACAAGAATAAAGTGACCTGGAGGGCTCGGGAGAGCCTGCGGCCACGTGGCTGTAATTCACTCCGTCCAGGATCAGCTGAACGAGAAGTGAGTTTTGGCAAAGACCAGGGTGGCTACTGGCAAAGGGCCCTCATGGACGGGGTAGCTAAGCCCCAGGGTGTCCAAGCGGCAGCATCCACTCGCCTGTCCAGGCCCAGAAAACCCAGGGTTGGAAGGGACACGGGGCAGGCTCCAAACCACAGGGCAGAGGAATGGCAATAGCCGTCTGTGTGCAGCCTCAGCCTCTTGCTCCCAGAAGAACAAGCCCAAAGGCATGGCCCCTGGGATTGCAGCGCCCTGTGAGCTACAGGTTCCCACGGTCACGTCCTCCAACCAGACACCACCTCCCATCCCCATAGAAAGCAGCCTCCCCGCCACGCAGCCTCCCTGGTACCACCACCCCACTCCTCATCTTCTCTGCTCAGCTCCCCACTGCCCTGGGAGGGTTGTGTGAAGAAAGCTGGCTTTACTGAGTCAACCTGAATTTTCAGGTGGCTGGGCCTGGGTATCAAAGAGTGACCTCCTCTTCCCTCCCTGAGGACCATGCCCCGTGTGCAGGGTCTGATGGTGGAGGTCTCAGTAGGTAGGTGGACTTCTGTACAGACATGCCCCATTTTATTGCACTTCACAGATACTTGGCTGCTAACCAGAAAGTCAGTGGTTCAAACCCACCAGCCGCTCTGCGGAAGGAAGATGGGGTAATCTACTTCCATAAAGATTTACAGCCTCGAAAACCCAATGGGAGTTGCTATGAGTCAGAATCGACTCAATGGTAGTGAGTTTGGGTTTTTTGGTTTGTCACAGAGATTGCATTTTTTACAAATGGAAGCTTTGTGGCAACTCGGAGCCAAACAAGTCATTTTTCCAAGAGCACGTGCTCACGCCCCGTCCGTGTCCTATTTTGATTCTTCTCACAATATTGTGCGTTGTTCCATAATGCAGGCGCACACTCAGTAGACTACAGTGGAGTGTGAACATCACTTTCACGCGGACTGAGAAACCAAACAGCTCGCATGGCTCGCTTTACTGCCGTGCTTGCTCTTTGTGGCCGGCTGGAGCCAGCCCCGCAATGCCTCCGAGGTGTGTCTGTCCACGTGGCTCTGTCATTCATGGGCTGCTGGGGCCAAGGAGCAGGAAGAGTGGTGGGCGCTGAGATTTCCAGACAGCACGCCCTGGGCTCCTGCCTCCTCTGGGGTCTTCCCTCCACCACTCGTTCGCTGCTAGCATTCCCTCTGCTTGTGTGTGTGTGACCTGCCAAGGAAGCCACTGACGTTGTCTCTGCCACCCCCACCCCCAGCTCCAGGGAGGCATTCCCAGAGGCAGCTATGCCAGACTGGGGGTGGGGGTGGATGAGCCTTGGCCCAAAGTAATGACAGAGAGGTTCAAGGGGCAGTCCCAGCACTCACGGGAATATGCTAGGTGTTAACAGTTGGTGGGTGGATCCCAACTTCAACTGCCCCTCTGGGTCACATCTGGATCCCATGGGTGGTGCAAAAGGTGAATGTTCTCAGCTGCTAACTGAACAGCTGGGAGGCGAGTCCACCCGAGGTCCCCCAGAAGAAAGACCTGGTGATCGAGTTCCTCAAAGTCAGCCATCGAGAACACCACGGAGCACAGTTCCCCTCTGACACTCACGGAGTGACCAGGAATCAGAGTCAACTTGACGGCAACTGGTTGGATTTGGGCTTTGGGGCCATATCCGGGGCCTACACAGTCATTTGACTAAATGCTCCCTCACAAGCTTCTCTCAAGCAGTGACTGCAGACCACAGCATGTCAAAGTCGGGGGCCGTGGGGACCACCAAGTAAGATATAAGGGAAGCAATCTGAATGGATACTGCATGTCACTCACACGGGGCCTCGCTCAGCTCTGGCCTACAGTGGCCAGAGGGAATATGGCCCGGGGAAGCCCCAACTGCTTTTCAAGAAGACACTTAAAAAACAGTTTTTTTTTTTGGATGAATTCTTCAATTTTCAAATGTAAGTGACTTATTCAGATTTTTTTCTAAGGGCACCACAGGCAGAAGTAGTCTGGGGACAAGGTGTGGCAAAGGCAAGCTTTGTGAGCAGTGGGAGACGCTGTGACCATACAACCTGGAGCCAAAGGCCACCCTCCTGGGGCACCCTCCTGGGGCACCCTCCTGGGGCCACGCTCCTGGGGCCACTGCAGTCAGACAGGCTTGGTGAGCCAGTTTGCACCCACGCAGGGCAGGCAGACCCTCCTTCCAGAAGGCCCCGGCCTGGCCTCACCCTGAAACAATTAGTATCCGGGACAAGTAACCTGGCGTGGGGAGGGGTGACGTACCTGCTGCGGTCCAGGGCTCGGGAGCAGAAGTGCACGCAGGCCTTGTCACTTCTCTGCAAGCAGATGCAGCGCGGGTGTGTCCGGCCGGGAGGCTTGGGGCTCCCTGTGGAGGGCTCCACAGCCCTCTTGCCCCGGAAGCCTCCCCAGTAGTTGGACAGTCCGTAGGGCACAGTGCGTCTGCAAAAGACCAGAGCCTGTCAGAGCCCCTGTGAGAGCCCTGTTCACCGTGTGCCTACCAGCTGGCCAGGAAGGAGTGGAGGGAAGGAAGACAGTCATAGAAACAAGCAGGATATGGTGACACTCGAACTGGGGTGACACCCCCACCACCATCACTTTGGGTCTCGTGCAGCCTCTGGGGGGACTTGTTCAGTCCCTGTCCCTACTGCATCTGTGTGGGGCTGCGGGATGGTGGGGGGGGTGCCTAGGAAGGAGGATGAAGCCTCAGCCCTCCTGGGGAGCCAAGCAGAGTTCTGTGTGTGCATGTGTGTGCTTGTCTGTGTGCATGTGTACAAGTGTGCACACATATCTGTGCATGCATGTATGTGTGCACACATCTGTGTGCACGTGTATAAGTGTGTGCCTGTACTTGTGTATTCTGAGTATCTGTGTACATGTGTGCACACAGAAATGTGTATGTGTGCACACCTGTGTGCCCATGACTGTGAGTGTGTACATCTGTGTAAGCATTAGTGTGCATGCTCACATCTGTGCATGTTTATGTACACATGCATGCATGAGTGTGTGCACATGTGTGCACCTGTGTATGTGAGCGTGTACACCTGTGTGCATGTGTGCACAGTGTGTATGTGTGTAAGTCTGTATGCATACATGTATGCATGAATATGCATGCGCATCTGCATGTGCGCACACATCCATGTACTTACCTACACGTGTGTGTGCATGCATTCATGTGCATGTGTGTGTACACACATGCACGAGTGTGAGGACCCGTGTTCCCCACATCAACTGTGGCTCAGAAATCTGCCTGTGGACACGTGGGCGGCTTTTTGCCCTCTTCCAGACAAAGTTATGCAAAAACCCCTCCAGTTCCGGGAATTCCCTGGGGCAGGTTTCAGCTCCTGGGCTCCGGATGTTCAGCCTGACCTGTGCCCCACCCCCAGAGAGCCGGAAAGAATTCCAGAAACTGCAGCACTCTGTCCAGAAGTCTTCCTTCCTGTGGCCAGAGCACCTGACAGGGTCATTTGGGTGGAAACCTGTGCTGGTCCCCAACTGGGCCCGGTCATTGATACCAATGAGACTCCTGCCTACCTCGGCGGCCAGGGCCAGCTATGCGTGGTGCCTGCCTGGAAGCTCCTGCCACCTGTGTGCACTCAGGCCTTGCAGCTGGTGCCAATGGGACTGAGACAAAGGCAGTTACCATCATCATAGATGACCCCGGGCTCTGAGTCCACTTCCACAGAGGCAAGCACCACACTGAACCCTCAGTGCCCTGTGAGGGGCCTGCGGTGCCCTGGAGGTGTGGCTCTGACAGGGCTGGCGTCAGGAATCTTATGTACAAAAAGTAACCTGAACCGGTTACCAACTCCATTTAGGGCTGGGGCCGGGGGGAGGAGGGAGAGAGCATCCTTTACAGCCACGAAGCGTCCAAGTCTGTGCTTAGCCCATGGCCCAGCAAACCCCATCTCCACAGAGGAGGCCGCAGCCGGGGAGATGAGCAGAAAAAGGTGCAAGCAGACGCATGACTCCTTAGTGTCGCCACCCAGGGTCATCACCAGGGGAAGCACCTGTGGCCAAAGCTACTTTCCTAGCGAGTCTGCATTTTCTCGTGATTCTCTGAAGATGGACTCCCTGTCTTTGAGCCCCAGTGAGTGTCAATCATCCGTCCCAAAGGGCATCCTGGCATCCTCTTTGGGGTTTCAAAATCAAATCAAATTCAATTGATTTTAATTTGAAAAACACAAGGCACAGAGTCTTTTTTGGGGGGTGAAGGCAAAGGGCAGGACACCCCACAGTGACCCAGTGCTCCAAGGAGCCGACCTCCCCGTTGGCTTGGAGGCCAGAGCCAAGGAATGTGGTCACCCATGCTGTCCCTCTTGTGCCCCTCTCACTGACTGCTTCCTGCCCAATTCCTTGGGTATTGGGGCCGGTTCCCTCCACATCAAGGGAGACCCAGCTGTGAGCTGTCAGTGCTCAGCAAATGTGGGGAGAGAAGGCCCCACTCCTGTCCCGGGTGGAGCCTTTGCTAAGAGCCCAGTGTCCCTCAGGGACCGGCAAGGGGAAGGCAGGGGCAGCCAGACAATGGGGGCATTGTTGTGAGGCACGAGCTGGCTGGAGGTGGATTTTTCCAGTAATAGGGTCACATTAAATCAATGAGTGTCGACACTAAGCCGAGTGCCTCCACCTCTCGGGGAAAATTACACACGTGCAATGACGAGCAGCGGAACCTGCAATTTTGAAACTGCCGTCAGCCAACTATGCATGTGTGCGCATGAGCCGCTCGACTCAAGCGCAAACACTTTGCAGCGTTTTAAGGAAACAAGGCACGTGGTATTCGTTAATGGGGACACGCCTGCTTCACAGGCGGCTGGGCCCCAAGAGCCGGGAAGCAAAGCGCTCCTTGCAGTTGTCGAAAAATGTTCACCACAAGGCATGGCCCTGCCCCTTCCACAGCCCTGAGCATAAACCCCTTCAGGGACCCTCGGGGACCCTGCGTGTGCTCTGAGCGCTGAGCTGGGAGCGAGGATGGAAGCCAAGGAATCAAAAGACTTCCTCATTTTTTTATAGGAACAGAAATGCATTGGCTCACAGTTCTAAAGGTCAAAAGTCTGAATGCAGGGTCTCCGAGGCTCTAGGGGAGGATCCTCTCTCGTCTCCCTGAGCTCTAGTGGCCGCAGGTGCTCCATGGCATACAGCCGCAGCGTCACTCTGTTGTCACATGGCTGTCTTTCTTCTGTCTGTCTCTCTGTGTCTCTTCTCTTATAGGACAGAGGGAGCCCTGGCAGTGCAGGGGTTAAGTGCTAACCAGAAGGTATGTGGCTCAAATCTACCAGCTGTTCAGGGGCAAACATGTGGCAGTCTGCTCCCATAAAGATTGTTACTGTTATGTGCCATCGAGTCGGACCCAACTCACAGCGACCCCTCCTTGGGTTTCCGAGGCAGTATCACTACAGAAGTAGATTGCCCCATCTTCCTTCCAAGGAGTGGCTGGTGGGTTTGAACCGCCAGCCTTCTGGTTAGCAGTCAAGTGCCTTAGCCACTATGCTACCAGAGCTCTCCCAAAAAGATTATCTAACAAAAACCAAAGTTACTGACATCGAGTCAGTCCTGACTCATAGTGACCCCTCCTTTGGGTTTCCCAGGCAGTATCTCTATGGAAGTAGATTGCCCAACCTTCCTTCTGAGGAGTGGCTGGTTGGTTTGAACCACGACCCTCTGGTTAGCAGTCAAGTGCCTTAGGCACTACACTGCCAAAGCTCCTCCCATAAAGATTACAGCCTTGGAAACTCTATTGGGTGGTTCTACTCTGTCCTCTAGGGGTGCTGTGAGTCGGAATCATCTTAGCAGCAATGGGTTCTTTGTGTTTGGTTTACCATTTAGATTGCATTAGGACCTGCCCTACTTTGGTACGACCCTGTGTTAGTTTAACTGATATCATCTTCAGAAGCCCGATATCACAAGCAGGTAGGTCATGTTCACCAGGCACCAGAGTTCAGGACGTCAACATAACATCTGTGGACACACTCCAGCCATCAGAAGAGGGGAGCAGGCTGCTGCCTTCCGCACTTCAACAAAGCTCTGCTGACAGGTTATGTAACATCGTAAAGAGGGCCACTGGCCGTGCGCTTTCATTCCTGCTTCCACAGTTTGTCCATGAGGAAACAATCAAAGACAGGCAAAATAAATAACAAGAACAGGGATGTTCTTTGCAGGGAATTTTTTAAAAACCAAAAAATCGAAACAGCAAACATGACCACCCCAAGGGACTTTGGTTCCATAAACTGGGATTCATCAGCATGAAGGTGCCCTAGAACACGGCCCGGATCACAGCAGGCCCACCCTCATGGGGTCTGAATCCAGAGGGCAAATGGAAGCCCACATCCCAGAGGCGGGACATAGTTAAGCTGATAAGCTTTTAAATAAAAGAGTCCTACCCTCCTCCCTGGATAAACATAGCTTCAAAAAACCCTGGAAGGCCAGGTCTGAACTTCCAGCAAGCCCATGTTGGAATGTGGCAGTCCTAGGAGTCGAAGCACCTCTCTTCCATCCCTGCTCCGTGGGGATGCTCCAGCCTCTCCAGGCACAGTCCACCCCCCACCCCCCAACTCCTCCCCAAGCAGCTGCTCCTTGGCTACTCGGTGGCTCTAGGGCCAGGTACCTGGGGATCCATCCTTGGCTACTCGGTGGCTCTAGGGCCAGGTACCTGGAGGTCCATCCTTGGCTACTCGGTGGCTCTAGGGCCAGGTACCTGGGGGTCCATCCTTGGCTACTTGGTGGGGCTAGGGCCAGGCACCTGGGGGTCCATTCTGCCCCTGGATGTCAGAGCCTGGAAGAGCTTTGCACAGGCCCTGGAATTGGGCTCAGGGCCATTGATTGCATAGGGCATTCCAGGATCCTGAATACCTGTAGCATGGTCTAGAAGAGGGGGATGTGCCTCTCGGTCCCACAGACTCCTTGCAGTGGATGGAGGATGTGGCCAGAGGTGAGTCAAGCCCCAGTCTAAGAGTGGATTCCCAGCTCCTCCAGAGTAGAAGGCGGGTCTTCCTATCCTTCTGCACCTGCTGTGGGCCTAGCACAAGGCTGGGCCAATCAAAACCATTGATTGTGTAACTGGTAGTTCATTGGGAGACAGTCCTGGTCCAGCTGGACTGGATTCTTTTCAACCTAAAGGGTTCGATAACCATCAACCTCATTGTGAAGCATCCCCAGAGCGCGCCAAACATCCACTGTGTGTCTGAGTATTAGCTTAAGTGTGATGAGGACACAGAAAGGCACTTACGCACCCCTACCCTCAGCAGCTCACAGGGCGGTGAGGCAGAGGAGCAGATGAAGGAAAAAACACATGTCAGCCCGCAAGGCATGACGAAGAACCGAGGCATCCAACAGTGGTGTCGGAAAAGAGTACTGACTGGACCACGGACTGCCAGAAGAACGGAAAAATCAGTTTTAGAAATGCAACTAGAATGCTCCTTAGAAACAAGGATTCAGAATCTCGGCTC